TCCTCAAAATTTATCCACCTGAGTTTGTAATCTGTTTCTGTTGGGATTCTGACACAAGGATATGCAAAGCTTCTCTTGATCTTATTCTTGCTTACCTATCTAGCATTATTTATGACCACACTCCAAATACTGAAAGTTCCAGCCTTACATAAGTGTTGTGAAATGTTTAAAAGTATGTTTTCTCACATCTACATGCTTTTCCAGATGGCCCTTTTTCTGTCCAGGATGGCTATTCTCATTTGAGCAGCTGTCAATTTCCCAAAGAGCACTAAAAAATCAGCTAAATATGTCCTCTTCTATGCAGCAAGACCTGAAGTTAGAACACCAAAGGGGAAGAACACACTTGGCATTTCTCAAGCTGAGAGAACTGAATAAAAAATTCAAGCCTCAAGTTGATGCAGGAAACATCAAAAGAAGATGGGAGGAATACATAGAGTAACTGTAACTAAAAGAATTGATCTATGTTCAACTATTTCAGGAGGTAGCATATGATCAAGAACCAATGGTATTGAACGATGAAGTCCAGGCTGGACTGAAAGAATTGGTGAAAAACAAGCCTCCAGGAACCGATGAAATACCTATTGAGGTGTTTCAACAAATGGATGCAGTGCTGGGAGTGCTTACTCCTCTATGCTAAGAAATTTGGAAGTCTGCTACCTGGTCAACTGTCTGAAAGAGATCAATATTTATTCCCACTGAAAAGAAAGGTAATGAACTAGAATGTGAAAATTATCAAACAATATCATTAATATGACATGCAGTAAAATTTTGCTGAAGATTATTTAAAAATGGGTGGTGGGTAACTAACTATGCATTCTCTTTAATCTGCTAATATTGTCTCTTTGCCTTTGATCACAGTCTCTTTTATCTAAACAGGAGTTTGTCTTTAGAAGGTATTTTGCACCCACCTTATTTAGTGGTCTCTACCTGATAGCTGAACATTTTTCTCCTCTCCTCTAAGTCTGGAGTTACTGCAAAGACACATCCATGCACACTCTCCTATAGTGTTAAACTAAACATGGTACAGGGATTTTAGTAACATCTTCATCGTGGACTTTAGTAATCAAGGCATTGTTCTTATTTTTGAGTGTGTTCATGTGAAGATTTCCTCTCTGCTCATTTTAAGGACAGAAATATCCATGATTCATGCATGGGTCACAGAAAGACAGTGGTAAGACTCATTCCAGAAAGCAACTCATTCCAGAACTCCTCTATGGTGTGGAGGATGGTGGGTGTATCAGTGCTTGCCTTCATTATCCCAAAAGAACAACAGGACGGTCCCTCACAAATGCACTTACATATACAAATTTCTGCTTGCACACATTAAAGAACCTAAAAGAATCTGAGGTCACCTATCAGCCATCATCAGTCTCCAGACGGCTGTTCCCAGTCTGCTAAGTCTATCATTAACAACATATTCACCTTAATTTTTCTTATAGGTGTAGGGTTAGAAATTTTGATCTCCAGAAATAAAACAAATGTTCTGGGGGCAGTATTAGGAGGGGCTTAGAATTCATTTCCTCACTGTTAGGCCAGAGTAAACTCAAGCCACCAACATTTCAGTTAGCAGCTTCCTCCGGGTGTCAGGCCCTGATGAGACAGCCTGATAAAACAAGCGAGGTGACAAAACCCGCCCAGGCTGGAAAGTCCCACATAATAACAAACTTCCTCCTGTGAAGCCCCCTTATGCTAATTAAGTGCAGACCCATGCCAACAGCTAATTGGACCCTGCCATTTCCTTAGTGTCCCCAATTAAGTCCTCTCTGTGTCTATAAGAATCTACCCCCTGCCCGCCCAGGGGTATGACTTCTCTGGCCTTGATGCTAGGGCACGAGAACCTCGCCCAGGAGTGCTAATAAACTACTTCTCTGAAACAGCTCCGTATCCTGGTGTCTCGGCAACTCTGCATTACACTCACAGCATTCCATTTTCACCCTATTTCCTCACCATGAGTGTTACTTCTAGAAACCTAAACCCAAAGCTGTGATCTTGGCCTTTCATATTTCCTGGAGCCCAATATTTCCCTACCTCTTTCTTTTCTCTGCACCAGCTCTACTCCAGATCAGTTCCACTCCCCACCAGTTCTACACTGGCCTCCACCATGAAGATTCTAGTCCTGGAACTGTTTTTCAGAGACAGTGTTATTACCAGAGAGTGTAGAAACATAGCAGGTAAAATATGGACCAAAGGGCAAGAGGACCAGTCCCAAGGTCAGGAAGGATAGATACAAGGACAAAAGGGACAAACATAGTATCATGCCTGTAGTAAGAAGAAACAAAAACAGAGCATGGAGGAGCGATGTGTAAATGTTCATCTATAGTCTTCTCTAGAGATTATAGACAAGTTAGAAGACAGGACCTCTGAGCCAGGGCAAACTATGGGTCTCAGATCCCATGGTCTCAAGTTTCTTGTATGATATGAGCAAGAATTCAAACATATTATTACTTCCTCCCCCTAGGAACCTACATTTCCTCTCATATTTCTGTTGACTTAGAAATTTTGGGATCCAGGAAGGTAAGATACCTGAGTTTCACCAAGGTCTTGATGTTGCTTGATCAGTAATTTGATAAAGAAGCCAAATCAAGAGTTAAGATCTACTCAAACTCTTTGTGCAGGGATTGTTACATCTTCTGTTGAATGCCTGGCAAAGCTTACTTCACAATGGGTACTAAATAAACGTATGTTGAAGTGAATCCCCATCTGGCCTTACATAACAAAACCCTGATGACATTGGCTGCATCTCTCCAAATATGAAGAAGCATGTCTTTTCAGATACTTTCTTCAATGTCCGATCTTGCTTGGTGATTCTCTCTATGTTTGTTCCATGGTGAATCATCATTAACTTTGTGCTGAGTCCACTGTTTTGAGTATAGGCTATTAAATCTGTCTGTGTGGGAAAAATCTCTAGCACAAAGTACATGGAGTTCTGAAAATTATTGGTACCCAGCCTGAGTACTTTGTCCAACATTTTCAACAGGAAAACTGTCTCCACATAATCTCTCATCATTCCAATGAGAAAGTCTAGTTTCAAAGTATTTTGAAGGCCACAAATGGAAATGATTTGTGAAATGGGAGTAATAACTTGGAAATTTTTATTTCAAAGATCTCTGAAAGATAAGTGGGGATAACAGCTATAACCTTACTATGTTGTTGTTGTTGTTATGTGCCGTTGAGTCAGACCTGACTCATAATGACCCGTCCTTGGGTTTCCGAGGCAGTATCACTACGGAAGTAGATTGCCTCATCTTCCTTCCGAAGAGTGGCTGGTGGGTTTGAACCACCTGCCTTCTGGTTAGCAATCAAGTGCCTTAGGCACTATGCTACGAGAGTTCCTAAACCTTACTATAGGTAACATAAATCTTTTTCCATGACTCTCCAAAATTATCTTTTTCATCAGGTTGTATTATAAATATGGGCAGATTCACTATGTAAAATAAGAATCTTATTCACTAATTAACTTATTTCTTTCCATTTATTTATTCAACAAATATTTATTGTCTATCTTGTACTAGAGAGCTCTAGTGGCCTAGTGCCTAAGACATTCGACTGCTAACCAGATGGCTGGCTGTTCAAACTCACCAGCCACTCCTCGGAAGTAAGATTGGGCAATCTACTTCCATGGAGATATCTCTTTGGAAACCCAAGGAGGGGTTGCTGTGAGTCACAATCAACTGGAAGGCAGTGAGTTTGACTTTTTGGTTTTATCATGTGCTAGGTACTTTGCCTCTGATGGAAATACAATAACAAACAAGACACTGAACTGATTCTCAATGATGAGATGATGGGGATAGACATTAAACAACTAATTATATAAGAAATTGCTTTATTAAAGTTGTGATAAGTGCTGAAAAGAACAGTACATTGTACAATAAGAGTGTATAGAAGAGACACTAATTTAGCAGGGAGGTATAAAGATGGAATATTTGAGGAAAGATTTTGCATTGAAGTCTAAGTAGAAGTTGGCCAAACATAAAAGAGTAAAGAGAACTACAGGAAAAAGGAACAAGAAGTGTGGTGCATTTGAGTAGCTGAAACTAAGAGACTGTGGCAGGAATATTGTCTTAATCCATTAATGGCAGCATCAGTCTGCCCTGTGAGATCGTTTTCTCCAACTTCTCCAAAATACACAATTACCTTCATCAAGATTTCTGGGAATGCTTTCCAAGTGAGTGAAGTGAAGGGACCAGTGAGTTTTTAGGATGTAAGCAAAACGATGATGAAAATAAGGGATAGTTTGGATTGAATTGTATCCCCCCCAAGTATGTATTGTAAATCCTAGTCCCTATACCTGTGGTTATAATCCCATTTGGGAGTGTATTTCTTTTAATGAAGGAATATTAGTATAGGGTGTGTTTTAAGTCTTTATAAAAAGAACAGATTGAACAATCAAAAAAGAAAGCAAGCAGAGATAGGAGAAGATAAATGGCAAGCCATGTGATGCTCACCAAGAAACAGAAATTCAAAAGAGACAGGGACCTTTTTTCCAGAGTCCTGTATTCAGTTTTTTAGCTTCCCAAACTATGAGAAAATAAATTTCTGTTTGTTAAAGGCATTCACTTGTGGTATTTTTGTTATAGCAGCAGTAGATAATGAAGACAATGGACTATTAAATCTAAGTTGGATAGAGAGGGAGGAAAGGAAAGGTTGGGGATAATGGCATGGAGGGAGAAGGTTCTGATTAAGATTGAATATGCATGAAACATTTATTAGAACACATGGTGTGCAAAATATTTTTATAGACCAGAATATAAGAACATTTCTAGGACTAAGTTTCTGCCTTCAAGGAGCTCACGATGTAGGTGTGGATAGATAAACACAAAAGCATAAATATAACAATTTTTAATGGAGGCATGAAGTATAGAAAATAGTCATACTTCCTGTCCCTCCTGCCTATCAATTTTGAATTGACAAGAGTTAGTTTTATTTTATATCTTCCTAAATTATATAAAATTTCACCAAATCGATTTTACCTCAAGTTTTCTTTTAGTGGTCTTTTCCATTCACTGCATTTTCTTCAAAGAAAAGAGAAAAATAAATATATCCTGGATCTGCTTGGTCTTCACTCCATAAATGATAGGATTTAGAGCAGGAGGGATGGCCACATAGAGGTTGGCAAATAGAATAAGCACATGTCTAGGGACACTGTGCCCAAAGCGATGAGCAAGGATGGAGAAAAAGGCAGGTGTGTAAAACATGAGGATGACACAGACATGAGATCCACAGGTGTTAAGGGCCTTTTGGCGGGCACCCTGACATGAAAGCTGAAAGACAGCATGAAGGATGAAGATGTAGGAAACAGCAATAAAAATTACATCTGAGATGACAGTCATGAGTGGTACAGCAAATCCATACCAGATGTTGATGGAAATGTCAGCAGAAGAAAGCCGTGCAACCCCAATATGCTCACAGTATGTGTGTGGGATGATCCTTGTCCTACAGAAGGGCAGCCGTTTCAGCAGAAAAACATCTGGAAGGATCACAGAGAAGCTCCTAACAACAATGCTCACCACGAGCTTAATGATCACCTGCGGAGTCATGATGGTGTTATATCTCAAGGGGAAGCAGATGGCCACGTAGAGATCAAATGCCATAGCCAACAGGATGGCGGACTCCACTACAAAGCTGAAGTGAAGGAAGAACATCTGGGTGAGACAACCAGAGAAGGTTATTTCCTGGGAGCCAAGCCAGAGGTTACTGAGCAGTTTGGGCACTGTGGCAGTGGATAAGATGAGGTCTGTAGTGGCCAGCAGAGAAAGAAAGAAAAACATGGGCTCATGGAGGCTGTGCTCAACTGCAATGAGGTAGAGGAGGATGCAATTTCCTGAAACAGCCACAACATAGATGATACAAAAGGGAATCCCAATCCAGACGTGGATCTTCTCCAGGCCAGGTATGCCAACAAGGATAAATGAACCAGGGTTATAACAGCTTAAGTTATTCATCACCTCTTCAGTCTGGAATCCACTGGATCTTGAACCCTGAGAGCAAACCAATTGTCAGTATGGGCTGTGGGAGCTGACAATTGCACTCTGGTTCTGAAGGTGGTTGGGGATTGCAACTGTCATATACAGAGTTCTTAAATTAAAAGTACCTCCTGTCCCCTGGATGAATTGACATCTAAAGAACTGACAAGCTGTTGCTCCTTGTATTTTCCACTGTATTTCTTTAAATATTTACTAATAAACCATATGGAATGTTATTTTTGAAGGTCAAAATAATAGCCAGAGAGATGAACAATTTCATATGATCACACCTAAATAACTTTATTCCTTTCTCAGGGCAGATTATTCAAGACAGACCCTGGTTCAAAAGAAGAAACATGAAGTATACAAAGCAGCAGCAAGAGAGAGAAAATGAGAATGAGAAAAAAAAATATTTAAAATATCTAATGGGATAAATTATGTTTCAGAGTGGGTTTGATACAATCAACAGAAGTCTTCAGATAAAAATGGAGGGGAAGGCAAAAGCCTTCTGCCTTGATCAGTATGTTCTTTTAAGAATATACACATGAGATCAATTTGACAACAGCAATTCAAAAGATTAGATAGGAAACTTACAGGGCAATGAGTTTATGTTAATGGGGGGGAACAGCTCAGAAAAGGAGGATGACAATGGTTGCACAACTGGAAGAATGTAATCCATGTCACTGAATTGTATATATAGAAACTGTCAAACTGATGTATGTTATGATGCATATATTTTTAACAACAACAAAATGAATTTTTTTTCTAAATGCTGGAGGTGATCAAAAGATGACAGTGGAAGAAGAAAAGGGGCAAATTCTAGTTGTTAGGTGGTGTGTGAGGTTTTGTTACACAAAAATTGAAATATGGTTCAGATTAAAATGCATGTTTACTGGTATATGAATACAAGAGAATGACTCTACCAGAAGACAGAGACAAGGAAGCAACATTCCTCTGACTCAGGTATAGAGCAATGGACTCAGGGCATGATATATGACTTTAGGGGCAATGCCCTACTCTTTGAGGATCTCTGTCCCTAAGATATCAACCAGTATGATTTGACCCAGGAGTAGTCAAGCATAACAGATTCTCACCTCCTGGAGATGAAATAGAGACTAATTAAGAAGTTTCTTTCCGCCATGGTTTTATTTCTTTTCTTCTACTGCTTGGATCCCATCTTTGGGAACCTCCAGCTTTGCACTAAATAAAATTCACTTTGGTAGGTGGCTTTTGCTCTGAAAGGGCTCTATGAGTGGTTTATTTTATAAAGTATGTTTGGTAAGGGAAGGAAAGAGAATCAGTAATTCTGACAGCAGGGAGCACAGGATGGGAGAAGCAGAGCAGAATATGGGCCATCCTTAGAACAATTTTGGAGAACTTGTGTGGTGGTTATGTTTTTTTGTCAACTTGGCTGGGCCTGGTTGAGAGTCTGGGCAGCTGGATGTAGTCTTCCCCATGATGAGGCTGGTAATCAGCTCCATGGTGGAATCTACCATGAGCAGCTGAGCAGCTGCCTTTGGGTATGTGGTCTGCTTCCTGTATATAAGGAGAAGCTTTGGGAATGGTCTCTAGCCATGGCATCTTGAACCCTGCATGTGGCTGAGTCATTGTTCAGCAGCCTGCCATGCTCTGCCAACCTTGGGACTTACAATGGACTTGAATTAATGGCCTGCCATGTGATTTGATAATATCAGGACTATGCCTTTTTACTTGTCAACCTTGAGCTTGGCAGCCTCAGCAGCCAGCAGCTGTCTGAGTGAAGAAAAGCCTCTAGCTTCTGTGGGCTGGGAGCTGGAGGTAGAGCTGAAGCCCAAGGCTGAGGGGCTTTCACCCAGCTCCTAGAGCCTGGCACTTTGAACTTGTACTTAAAGCCTCCAAACTGTAAGAGAATAAACTCCTATTTGTTAAGGTCATCCCATTTGCGGTATATGTTCTTGTCAGAGTGGCACTAGGTAACCAGAACAACTTGGTTCTTTTCCTCCCTAAAAAATTTTTAAAGGAAACATTGAAAAAACTTATAAGAAAAGAATGTATTTGGTGAGCAAGTCATACCAGTTCTATATTACTGTATTTGACACCAATCAGTAGATTTGCAGAGAAGGAAAGAGTAGCCTGGAGCCATGTAGGTTATTGTGACTTCTCTACCAGGGTTCTTACCAAAATTTTACATTGTGAGCTTGCCTTGCTTGGGGGACAGTTTCATCATAAATGTTGTTGTTGTTGTTTTGCTGTCGAGTCAGCCCCGACTCATAGCGACCCCTCCTTGGGTTTCCAAGGCAGTATCACTACGGAAGTAATAGACCTCTTAATTAGCCAAGGTGGACAAATTACATCTACTGAGAACTATAAATAATTCCCACTATCCAAAGGCAGGCTTTCATATCATGCGTGTTCTAAGTTGTATCTCCAAGTCTGATGTAAAATGAACTCCTACAAGCACTGGAAATCAACATTATAATAATCACAATAAATAGCAAAAGAGAGTCTTCATAAAATCTTCCCTACAACTCTGACCACACGACTTCCTTGATTTGAAAAGCAGGTAGACTGAGAAAGCTCCAAAATGTCTCTATAATTTAGGCTAGATTGTACCTCAGTCTATGGCACATAAGTTCAATGTGCCCTCACAGGAAGCCTATCTCTTCAGTGTTACAGAGAATATATTTAACAGGAGAGGAAAATAAACCACGAATCACTAACACTGCAGCAAAAAAACAAACCAAACTCACTGCTGTCGAGTCTGATCCAAATCATAGAGACCCTTCCTTGGGTTTCCAAGGTGGTAACACTACGGAGGCAGATTGCCCAACTTTCCTTCCAAGGAGTGGCTGGTGGATTTGAACCACCGGTCTTCTGGTTAGTCAAATGCCTTAGGCACTACTCCACCAGAGCTCCCTAACACTGCAAAGGGAAGTTAATAATAATAATAATAATTTAATCCAAAATCAGCTGTTTCAGTCAAAACCTATTCTGACCTCACTTCTAGCCAGGGAGTTTTTCCTTCTAAATCCCCTGCTATATCATTGGTCACATTATCTGGTGTGCACTTTAAATCTTATCCCTTGCCAAGGTCTATCTCCTTGTTATGGAGTCAGAGGATCCCTTCTCCCAACATTATGGCCTTAGGGCACAGCCCCTACTTGAACATGAAATAAACACAGGCTACATTCTTTGGTAAAATCCTAGAGTCCACACAAAGTTTTCCTCCTGCCTAAGTGACTGCAGTTTTCAACTCACCAGACTGCGTTCTGTCTTTTGCGTTGGAAGAACCTGTTTAGAAGGAGGCACAAAAAATATAGGCTGTGAACAACTCCAGTAGTAGGTGAAATTAAAACGTTTATGCATTTCCCTATGTCCCTAGGAGATAGAACTCAGGTTATCTGTGCACATACATTTCTCAGTCCCAGGAGAGGGATGAAATCAATCACACTAACTGCTTTTCCCTTGAGATGGATTAGAGCTTTGGGGTTTTAGAAGGCTATAGATGTTGGATCCCTAGGACATTCAGACCTTGACAAATCAGTCAGCTGAGATGGAACTCTCAGAAGTCTTATTATGCTTGCAATATTCCTTAATTACTCAATTTCTATAGACTTGCACATATATCAAATACTTAAATTTAAAATTTCTATATATTAAATGCTTAAATTTAAATTTTCTATAGTTTTGAACAAGTCCTGATATTGAAAGTGTAAGGAAGACTGAGGAAAAGTGGATGCTTTTGAGTTGTGTGGTTGGCAAAGAATATTGAGAGTACTATGGACTACCAAAAGAACTAACAAATTTGTCCTGGAAGAAGTGCAGCGGGAATGCTCCTTGGATGTGAGAATGGCTAGATTTCATTTGACCTACTTTGACCATAGGAGCTCTGGTAGCATAGTGTCTAAGGCACTTGACTGCTAACCAAAAGGCTGGCGGTTCAAACCCACAGCCACTCCTCAGAAGGAAGGTTGGGCAATCCACTTCCATAGTGATATCGCCTCAGAAACCCAAGGAGGGGTCGCTATGAGTCGGGGCCAACTCGACAGCACATAACAACAACAACAACACTTCAATCATATTGTCAGAAGAGACTATTCCCTAGAGAAGGATATTATGCTGGGTTAAGTGAAGGATCAATGAAAGTGGTGAAGGCCCTCAACGAAATGGATTTATACATTGGCTGCAATGATGGGCTCAGGTATAGCAAGTATTGTGAGGCTGGCACAGGACCGGGCAGTGTTTCGTTCTGTTGTACATAGGGTCACTATGAGTCGCAGCTGACTCCATAGCACCTAAAAACAACAGCAACAAGTCTTCTAAGTTCTTCAAAAATATCTTAGTCATTCTTGGCACATAGCTTTGCCATGAAGGTTTTAGAAACAGCTTCTTAATTTATACATGTACACACACATAAACTTCTGGAGATTTAATTGTGATTGTATTGAATCTATATGTTGTTGTTGTTGTTATGTGCTGTCGAGTCGGACCCGACTCATAACGACCCCTCATGGGGTTTCTGAGGCAGTATCACTACGGAAGTAGGTTATCCAACTTTCCTTCCAAGGAGTGGCTGGTGGGTTTGAACCGCCAGCCTCCTGGTTAGCAGTCAAGTGCCTTAGCCACTATGCTACCAGAGCTCCTCTGAATCTATATATCACTATAGAAATATTTGATATGTCTGCTTATTGTTTATTTATTATATATAGATAGATAGATAGATAGATATATGTACACTGTATATGCAATCTTTTACTTTTCTTAATACAAGTAAACCTTGGAGATATTGCAGGTTTGATTTCAGACCACCAGAATAAAGTGAATATCATAATAAGGCAAGTCACACATGTTTTTTGGTTTCCTAGTACATATAAAAGTTATGTTTACACCTTTTGCACATACAGTACTGCCTTGTCAGTAAAGGCAAACATTGATATATGGGAGGGTAGATGGGTGGATAGGCTGAACTATTAGGTATGTCTATGCAGAGGGGAGTATGC